TATCAAAGGGGTCAGAAGAAACTTGCAACATGGCAGGAACTGCAAAAAATACAAAAATTAGATTCTGAAGGACAATCACGAGAGGATCCCAAAGACTGAGCTACTGAGAAAATGCAGCTCATGGGTCTTTAATGATTGAATTGAATACTGCATCTGGACCTCAGTTAAAAAGACATCATTTGTGTCCACAGCTATTTTTTTAAAAAAATACTTCTGATTTGTAACTAAGGCAATTTTATTCAGGAGCTATAATTAGACTCCTGTTATTATTTTTCTGGAATCAGATATTGCCACTTTACATTCTGTTGTTATTTTCAAGTTTTGAAATTGCATAGGTGATCAGCTAGTTAACTGCAGAGATAACAGGCAGTTAGAAAATCCAGTTCACTATATTTACACAGTGGATTTAACATCAGATTCATGGTGAGTGTAATTCATGTGTCATTCACACATCACTGAGTTCCTTTGGACTTGTATAGCAGTTGGTTCACTGCTCACGCTGTGTCTGGGGCTTCCCTGACTATGAGGGGGTTGCTTTCTCTTAGATTAATGCTCCATTTCCCAGGGTTGCCTTTCTGTAAATACACCTTGGTATTTCAAAGATTTCTGTAAACTCCCTTAATGCTAGTGTCTAATTATGACTTTAAAACAATTTCTTAGAATAATATGGTTGGGAATTTAGAGAGACAAATTCCCACTTCCTGAACTGCACTGTGCATGTTTTCAGAATAGTCTTCCGTCCCCATGTTTCTGTCCTCATATTTTTGGTCCTATTGGTTTTGGCACAGTGCTCAGATATTACAGTTAACAGTATTGTTCATCTATGCCAGCTTTTGTTTGGGCTTAATTTAAGTCTTGAAACACTTAGGTGACAAAACATTTCCATTTAAATCCTAACACTTGCAGTACCTGTACATAAAAAAACAGTTTTAAAAAATACATAAATAGAAAAAATTCACCAGTGAAACTACTCAAACTGAATTCTACCTTGGTTTATTTATTTTTAAGTGCAAAAAAGCAGAATATCAGAATGGTTATAAGAAATATCTCAACAACAATTTCATATTATTATTATTTTATGACTGGATTTAAAACAGGTATAGAGGGGATATTTGGGTTTTAATTTTGTTTCCAGAATCTCAGGCACTGTATTTCATAATAACATTTTATGCTGCATTAACAGAGTTTTATGCTGCATTAACACCATTTTATAACATAATGGAAAACAAATGGGTACAAAAGACAGGTAAAATGGAAAATAAGCTGTAAATTTTTTTTTTTGCTCATTCCTGTGCTGTATACTGATAACATTACCAACAAAACAACAGTGGCTTTTCAGCTATCCTCTACTTCAGCCAGATTTTGAAATGAGCATTTATTGAATCATATATTTTCATATAATAGTAAAGAGACAGACTGGGATCCCTACTTTGGAGTTGAAAACTTTCCAACACAAGCACTTAAGCTTTATAAATTTAATTTGGCTTGATTATCTGTACAAAGTATGATACAATATAAAAGGCAACTATAAAAGATTCAAGAAAGTTAAAGAAGAGGTAAGAATTTGCAGCTAGTAAAGGGATTTACACAAAAAGAGGAAAAGATTACTCTTTAGCAATTAAAATTAAACAGGCTTCCTGTTCTGCTCTTTGATTTTATTGACATTTTCCTCAAAATAAGTGTGTTCTCAGCTGGAATCTTGTACAGCCTTAGACTTTTTTTCAAGAAAAGGTTCACTGGAAAAGTGTAAAAGTACTCAAAGACTAGAAAAAAATGCAGGCAAAATGGAAGATATCAATATATTTAGACCGTTTCAACTTGGAAAGAGACAGAGGAAAGCAAATACAAGTCTTAAAAATCTAGACACAAGAATGGCAGTGAAATGAAATCATCTGGTATCTAGGTATATAGTGAATAGGACAAGAATAAAAAGCTAATAATGCAGAAACAAAATTTAAATCAGACATAAAAATACCCCACTAATTGCAAAATATGTAAGATATTGAATAGTTTAAAAATACCATTAACTTCATCCTAGGATCTTTAAGAAGTTCATAAAACATGCTGGGAATAAATGTAGTTGCACTTTTCTGTGATTAATTGGATTTTTCTTCCCATGGAGAATAAACTGAACTTGGTGTTGAACTTTGAACATTTTTCTCCTAGGTTATCTTTTAATTAAACCAGTTCCTTGATTCACCTCACTGTGCAACCATTCAAATACTCTTGCCCTCCAAAAGGCTGGAGTAGCACAGACAGAAGTTGTCTTCTGGAAGCAGGGAATTGAAATGGGTAAGTTTGGAAGCAACCACAGAAGTCATCTGATCCAACTTCCCTGCTAAAGAGGAGTCATCCTATACACACTGTTCAGGATTGCCATGTGGAATTGCTTTCTTTGGCAGATCTGCTTGACATATGCAAATGAAAGATATTTATGGAAGTATGCCTTTTTCTTGTATTACCTGTGGTCTATTTGGGAAGACATTTTTGTTGACAACAGTAATGAGATGGTCCTGAACTCTGTTTGAAATTCCGAAGTACAGTAACAAGTAAAATAAGAAAGTAAAAAGACACACTAAAGGCATTGAACCTCAATACATCCTGGGGACATGTTAGAACTCTTTTTAAATTTCACACACTCAGGAAATTTTACTGGTTTCACAGAATAAACAATTAATAAAAATGCAATTTGTCAGATTTAAAAACAAGATATTTGGCAAAAAGAGCAGAAACATTTAATTCCACTTATTTAATGTTATGAAAAGTAGAAATCTTCCATCAAAGGAAATTCTGGTTATAGGCAAAGTGAAGAATCAACTTGTATATATACATCTATCCAGAGCTTTCAATGAGAATAATGTTTACAGGGGGTAGAAGGCAGGAGTAACACATGTTTATGGGATTTAATTACATTTTTTCCTCTTGTGTTCCTAAAAAAAGGTGATTTCCAATATTTAATTCTTCTATTCCATCTCAACCAGCTCTCAGTAACTAATCTTTTCTCACCACCAGCTGTCAAGACTTCTGAATTTTTTTGGGGGCTACTAAAGTGTTTGGCATCTATGCCTACCATTTTCTACAAGTCTTTATCAAAATCTATCCTCATAAACCTATTAATTCCATTTAGTGATCACCCTTCTTTTTGTGGTTTTAATGTCTTCTGTACATCAAAATAATTACATTTTCTTTTAGTTTTATTTCCCATATTATGGACAAGAAAAAGTGTCTTACTTTTTCATTTGGCTGATTTCCAACTAACATAAATCCCATTCTTTGACATTTTTATTCTACTACCATCCATGTAGATGGGAACTGTCCATGAACTTTAAGGATTTCTCAAACAGATAAGATAACTTTTATATGTCAGGGGTACTTTAAGAATAAATTTCCAAAGGTAATATACACTAAATAGATGTTCTATACATAGTAAAGCAGATTAATTAAAAAAAAAAAAACAACTAACCAACCAAACAAAACAAACAAAAAAAACAAAAACCCCCAACTGGTTAGGATATGAAAATATATGAATATAAGTCACAAAAATCAGTTACTGTACTCATAAAGGAATCATATTATCATTTGATTAAGAGAATAAAAGAAAAAACCTGTGGGAACACCTTTTAGGATTCTATATTAACCATTCATGTGCACAGCAATGAAAACGAGGGAGTGTTTCAAGTTTTACAGGGCCTTTGTTTCCCAATTTTCAAATCCAGCGTAAGACAAGCAATAAGAAAGAGCTCAAAGAACAAAGAACAAAGAACTGAAAAAGAAAAAGTGCAGTGTTCTCATAAGTTTCCAAAGACAGTTATGAAAATAATGCTACATGATAGCTTATAATTTAAAGTCTGGTGAGAATTTTGCATATTTCTAGGCATGATTAAAAACAATTTATTTCAACAGAAAAAAAAAATTAAAGGATTCCAATGCAAGTGTAAAAATTACTAGGGACATGAAAGAATTTCATATGACAGAAATGAAGAGATCTGCACTGTAAATTTAGAAGATAAAACTTGATGAATGTATACAGCATAAAATATGGTACAATGAGGATAAATTAGGGAATTTACTTCTGCATTTCTGCAGTAGAAAATCATTCAACAAAACTTAAAGCCAGAAAACTCAGAATATTTTTCTTCTATGTTAAATTACACTATGAAATGTGATGAAATAATTGTAAGTCAAGAGTAAAATAGATTTTAAAAAGCACACCAAATAAATCTATGAATAAAGAATACCTATAATTACCAAAGATCATCAATAATTAAAAAGGCTGTAAACCATGAAATAATTTATTCTGTAGATTGTATAGCTCTCCCCTGATCCTCGTCTTTATTTTGTGATGAATGTAGGAACATATTCTCTTACATCATATATTTTTAGTAAATTTCATAGTTTGCCACAGAAATAGTGGATAAATTTATCTCAAATATATCAAAATACACACACTGTTGACAAAACTTGTCCAGTCCTGTTGGGTTTTTAAGCAAGGTAGGCTCCCTGGCCAGCTCCAGCACGGCGGCTATCTCTAGCCGGCGGACCACAACCCACAACATCAATGTGATGGATGGTGTATATGGTGTTTGTTGCAGGGAAATTTGACATTTTTATAGCCTAGGTTCACTGTGTTACTCCCATCTGCTTACATGACACTTAGGTGCTATTGGCTAATTACAAAAGGACTTACTATCCTAGAAAGAGGGGTGGGTTACTGGCTTTCCGTTACATCCCAAATTCTTCCACTCCGCCAGGCCCTAACTACAAAATATTTCCCCCCTCTTTATGAATAACTAATTTGCTAAAATACAAGGTATATTAGTCTTAAAAATGTATAATATAAAATTAAATAAAATATAGGATACATTATACTTAACTAAAAGGCTAAAAACTTATAAAATAGATACTACAATTTTCATTGGTAAATATAAACACATGCAATAACTAAGTATATTTTAAAGCATCTGTTGCCTTTCTATAAACAAAATGTTAACTTTTTCTAATCAGTTCTTAACAAAGGACACAAGCTTATTTAAAATACATGGTCCAAATATTAGCACAAGTAAAATCATCACAACTGGTCCAATCAGGGTAGACACCAGGGTGGTTAGCCACGGAGACTGATCGAACCAGCATTGGAACCAGCTTTGCTGAGCTTCTCTCTCTGCCTTCCGTTGAGACAGCCTGTCTCGTAGCTCTGCCATGGTGTCTCTCACTAATCCGGTGTGGTCTGCGTGGAAGCAGCACTCTTCATTCAGGGCGATGCAGAGGCCTCCTTGCTGCATGAATAGAAGGTCGAGACCTCGTCTGTTCTGCAAAACAACTTCAGAGAGTGAGGAGACTGATTTTTCTAGAAAGTATATGGATTTCTCAATTCTCTGTAGATCTTCATCTACAGTCATTTGTAGCTGAAAGAGACTCTGACTCTGGGTTACCAGAGCGGAGACACCCGTGGCTGCTCCAGTTGCTCCCAAGCCAAGCAGCATTGCTATTGACAGTCCTGTCAACAGCTCCCTTTTCTGAAGGCGGCCTGCTCGCTCAAGGTACTGGTTCACTTCTTCTCCAGAGTGGTATAGGACCCTGGGGATGCTAACAGCTAATACACAAAAGTCAACAGAGGAGTTAAAGCTTTGGGTATAAATGCAAGGGCTTAGCCCACTGCAGTTGCAAACCCATATGCCAGACAGGGGGGCAATTGCCCATCTCTTGGACCTGTCCACCTGCACAGTGGTCGCACAGACTTTTTTGTCAACAACAGTGGCTTTGCCCACACAAAACCCTTGCCCTGTCATGTGGCTGATGGTGATTCTGCGAGAAGGTGACTCACTGTGGCACTGCACTGGGGCTTCTGCATTAACCCACAGCGGCCGGTTATTAAGGGCCACAGCCTCATAGTAAGGGGGCTGTGTGTCATAACACAGCCAGCAGGATTCTGTGGCATTAGGGTTAGATTGATTTAGAGGTAAAAAGGTGGCATCTAACATCCGATAGAGTGAATCGAAAGCAGCGGCTTCAGATCTTTGGGGAGAAGCTTCTTGCTTATGCAGTGGGTATAGACTACTAGATCGTGGGTTCTCAGCTTGTACTACAAGGTTGGGGCCAACTGCTTCAGGTGTTATAACTGGGAGCCAGATAATTTGTACTACTTCACTGTGATTTTTACCAGGTTTGTGCAAGAATACCGACCACATTCTTCCGGTGGTCCAGCCCACATCTGCTGGCTGCAGACCCTGCATGATCATTTGATGACAGACTTTAGATTGGTCATCATAAAAGCCATAAAACACTTGCCCTATAGAGTTGAAACTGGGACGCATACAGCCTGCCGGACCCCAGGTTACCTGCAGAAACTCGTCTGCTTTTGGTGGTGCCCACCTGTTACTCAGGACTATTGTTTCACATCCCCAATAGCCACAAAACCAATACCCTGGTTGGTGGCAGTAGTCTTTGCCTGGGTTGGTGGCTGGGCACCAGAATGACTGGTACAGCTCAAAGCGAGGGTGGATGTTATGAGTTACTATACCAGGGAAAATGTCTCAGATGAGCACAAAAAACTTTGGGGTGCCTGCTGTGACTACCTCTTTGATCACTTCATTCGAGGCACGGCGTAAGATCCACCTGAATGGTTGATGGGGGTTATATTCTGCACCAACCTGCTCGCTGTTAACAAGTGCTAAAAACAAGATTACACACAAAAGTTGTTGTCGCTTGGGTTTCACAGGCTCAGGAGTTTTGGGCGTCTTCGGGTTGTCTGGTGGTTCATCGCCTCTTTCT